ATTATACATCACATCTTTAAGAATGACTATTCAGTCATTGTAAAGATCAAATGAGTTAATATATGTGAAAATACTCTGTAGTTATGTAATACATATTATGATATTAATATATTTAATATAATATTAATGTAATATATGTGTAAAATATGTAAAATATAAATATATGCAATATTATATTAATATTAGGTTGTATTGTTGGCTGTCATGCACAGTGATTGAGTTTGGGAGAAGGGGGAGAAATTAAGTCAAAGGGATACTTTTTATTTTTTTTTTTTGAGAAGTTTATTTAATATCAAGCAAGCAGAGACATTGCTTGACACTATAGACATTTTAAGACTTGAGTTACAAAAAGAATACCACATTACTTGCACTTATAATTGACTTCCCTTTTAATGCATGTTGTCAAGAGGAAAAAAACTAACATATGGCTGAAAGATAAAATAACTAAATTCTGTGAAAGTCTTTAAAATGAAAGGTGAAGCTTAAGTTGTTATAAAAGAATGGATTAATATATTTAGTAAAATCAAAGTTATTTTTTCCCTTTTGGTGACCCTATCTTTTGGGATACTTTTTTTTTAAAAGACACTCATTTCCCTGATTATACTCAAGGCTAAAAGATGTTAATTATTTTTCATAAGGCAAACATTCTGGTTTATGCAAATTTAAAGTTAGGTACATAAATTACTTAGTTATTTCAAATGTTCATGCAAATGTTATATAGTTATATTTTACCATATAAAATATCTCAAAAATTTTAAAAACCTCTATACAAGTATAGTTTTAATTACAATGACATGATCAAAAACAGGAGCACATATAGCAAAAGCACTGATAATGCTTAACCAGCATCAGTTAAGCATCAACACAGAACAGATGGTCCAAGAAGACACACAACAGGTTTGCAGTCTGGATAGAAAAGCATAAAGCCATTAAAACTATCAGATTTCTGTTTCTTGTAGATATTAGTCAATGAATAAGTAAAGACATAATCCTTGGTTGTAGAAGAACCAAATCTTAGTGTATTAGTGTTGCAAAATTGCTAACTTTAACTTCATTTTTCCCCCTAATTTAAAAGTTTTTATATATAGTGGTAGATAATACCATTGCTTGTTTATTATTGTAATTGAAATTAATGCAGCTCGTCATAAGTAGGTCATTTATAAATGTGAAATTGCTGGAGGCCCTCTTTTACTGCCATGTTGCATTTAACTTCTGGTTGGACAGATTTGAGCTATATTGCTAGGCTATTTGCCATTAAAGCATTTTTCATCTTATAAAAGGAGATGGTTACTTTAACATTGTGTTGTCTTGAAAATAGCTATGTATGATTAGAAAGGTACTTACATTTCATATGTATATCATTCAATAGCCCGTGTTTTATTTTAGAAAAAGATCTTCCCAAAGATACATTCTTTTAAAAAAGTGGTATGCTTTCAAAAAGAGCCTAATGATTGTCTATTCTGAATGAATGTTTGTTTAGCATTTTAAGTATTAAACAAAGTGAAAGGCAGAATATTTAGAAGATTTAATAGTACATTTTCTTTGTAGAAAATTGTGGAGTAATACCCAGTTTGTCTAAATGACTGTATTGTGATTTTTCTTATATTAAAAAAAAAACCTAAAATACACATAGGAATGGGAGTGTTTTCTGTCTTTATATAGGATGCATTCTTTTTACAGAAGAAACCTTTAATCTTTTATTATGGTTTATGCTTAGTCTCACGAATGTCTTATGATTCTGAATCCCTAGCATTGAATCCTACATTTATGTTGTCATTAAATGTGCTTCAGCTAAGTAACAATCTGACATAATTAATATTTTCCCCTATAAATGAATAAAACAGGCTTCATAAAGCAACAGACTTTTGTGGATGTCTTTTAAAATCTCTTTAAAAAATGTTTTACATGGTTAGAAAGATTAGTTAATACCAAAAGGCTCATAGTGAAAAACACCAATCATCTCCTCTCTCTCTCTCTCCTTACATCTCAGTTCAGTTCTCCAGAGTAAAAACTCTTTAAACTTTTTTTTTTAAAGCAATGCCTCACATATAGTTATAATATGCCTATTCTGGTATTTCTTGATTTATCCCTTTTAGACATTCTCTGCTGACTTCCTGATAGTGGTAGATGAGATTTTATCTTTTTTATGCCCTATTTGTATTTCTTCTTACCATATCCTTCTAATATAGTTATCACAAGTTTAGTTAAATCAGTAATCAATATTTACATTATTACAACTATACAGAGTTTACTGCAAAGCCAGGTATTATTTTTCCTGAATTTACTAATTATCTCGATTTATATACTTTACTGTACATTTACCCTTAAATGGTCAACTGTTTTTTATAAGGGTAGAGTTTAGGATTTTTCTGGCAGTTTCACCTAAGGGCAGTGCCTTTCACATAAAGAGATTATATTCTTGGGGTGAAAGGGCTTGTTTTCCATGATCCTAACATATGTCAGTATGAGCCTTACTCATATTAGGCATGCATCAAATCAGAAACGTGATCCTTGTAATTGAAAGTTTATTGCTCTTTAGATCCATGCTAGAGTGCTTATTGGTTATCCTGGTCTGCAAGTACAGAAAGTTTATGATAATAGACTATGATATAATATCTAATGATTATATTAATAAAGAAATAAGAACTTTTCAGTTCCATTTTCATACTAAAATAGCTCAGATAGGTACACGATAGATTAGAAACTGAAACTGGAGGCTTGGAGTGCCTAGGTATTTAGCCTGTTAAATGAAAGCATTCCACTATTCTTATTGGGTTTCCTAATGAGTCTACTAAGAGCATAGAAATCCCCTCAGATCCCATAAATTCATTTCAAACATTTGTAGGCACTAAACAGCACAGATTTATAAAAGATGTAGAAAATTTTCATTCTCCTCTCTAAGATGTCTGTTGAATGTGAGATTAATTTTAGGCGTTGAAGTACTTTTCTCTTAATTTTTGAAACTCTCTCTCTAGATTATTTAAATTGTGCTTTTCCTTTTTCCTCAGATTTCTAAAATAATTTCATCTCATGTTGTTTGTATATAAAAACTAAACAGTTCCCTCTGTCTATAATCAGAATTGTCTTATTATTAAGAGCAGTCTTTCTCAAAGGCTAAAACTTGATATAAAACATATTAATAATTTTTTATGAAAAATTCTGAAAAATTTTGAGCAAACCAAAATTCTAAATTCTGAAAACTTGCTGCTACTTAGAGGAGCTTTATACAAAGGAGACTATAGAACTTCTTGACAAATGAATAAATTTTGAGATATCATCGGGAATGTTGGACATAAAATTAAAAACAAACTATTTGAAAAAAATTTCTTTAAAGAAAACAGAGAAACTTGGCACAACTCTGTGTTAGGGACAAAGATAGTATTTACATTATAAACTTTGTTAAAGGGGATATGAAATCACCACATTTATTAGAATATTATACATTCCAAAGTAAAATCCAAATGATGTGTTGTCATGTAGTAATTGTCTTATACTATAAATATATAGTTTTTTTAATTTATGTACATTTTCAGTGGTAATACTGAATCTTTTAAAAATACTTATTGTCAGATTTAAGTACTCAGGTTTATAATATATCACTGTAATGAACTGGGGGAGAAAAAATGAATCATCTTTAGTTTGATTACTCACTGTGGAAACAATTGGGAATATGCTCAAACAATTCAATATAACAGTGATATATTGTACACATGGGTTTTATAGATAACATTGCTGAAACCTTTTTTTTTTTTTATTAGCCTTTTCTTTGTTTTCCTGAGTGATCCTATAAGAGAAAACTAAAAGAGAGTAAAGGAAAAGAGCTTTAGGATCCTAGACAAATTTCTAGTTTGGACTTTGGTTTTCTGATTTGTGGTGAAACCCGGTATCTCTATGGTATTTTCTAGGTCTAAATGTGGTCAGTGTATGAATAGGAGGCAGTCATGGGTGAGAGATATGTAAGGGGACTCAAATATGGAATAAAGAAAATAGAAATAAAAAGATAGAAGGAGGCCAGAGAGGAAAGATATTTATTGAATGTCTGTGATTGTCAATGATTGATGTAACTGTAGGTATGCCTAACATTTTTGTTGCTAGGGTTGTTTCTGCAATGTTCTACCAATTGCAGGTACACTTTTCTCCACAATAATGGATTGACTAAACCAGGTTTTTTATATTATACTATGGCCAGTATAGTAGGTACTCAGTGATTATTTCTTTAACTTCCTGAAAATGTACCAGAGTTGATTACATAAAACAAGGTTTCCCCTTCAGTTCTCTGGGTTTTTAACCTTGACTTCTTGACTGTGCTTGCTGTTTGTCTTTGCCATGACACATGATCTGACTTCTGCAATAGATTTTCCTTGTTTTTATAAGTAACTAGTTCTGGTTGGTGCTTTTACTTGAGAGACTCACTTTTCCATTTAAACTCTCATTTGCCTTGGGCTGTTCTGATTTTATTAATTATTTATCTTGCGCTAAGCATAAATCAATCACAGGTCAGATTTAACCTGCCTTACTAATATTCTCCCTTGTTCTGCAGATCTCAAATTGTAGTTTAGGACTCTGTTATGGTGGGGGCAGTGCAGGGATTGGAGAGATCCTTTCTCTACTATAAATAGAAAGAAATTAGCCAAACAGCTAAAAGTAAAAAGAAAATTAGCCGGGCATGGTGGTGTGTGCATGTAGTCCCAGCTACCAGGGAGGCTGAGGCAGGAGGATCACTTGAGCCCAGGAGTTTGAGGTTGCTGTGAGCTAGTCTGACGCCATGGCACTCTAGCCCAGGCAAGAGAGTAAGACTCTGTCTCAAAAAAGAAAAAAAAAAAAGAAGCAGCACCAAATTAATGGCAAAGTAATCATCATCTCTTTAGATCATCTCTATTAATGATAAATACACATTTATTTAAATAAAAACGTATTATATGACTAGTTTTAGTCATCCATAGGTTGATAGTTATGTTTCAATGTAATTTTAGTTTAATTTTTTTTTTAATTTTTTGCAGTAATCCTAAAACGGAGAGTCAGAGAGTAAATAAAAAAGTCAACAATGATGCTTCACTGAGAATTCATAATCTATCCATTTTGGTGAAACAGATAAAATTTTATTACCAGGTAAGTGATCCTTTTTTTAATCTGATATTTTAATAACTACTTACATTTTTGTGTAAGCTAGTATCAATCATCTAACAAATATGAAATACTTACTATATTCCAGGTCCTAGTCTATTTGCTGGAGATAGAGTAGTAAATAAAATATCTGTTATGAATATTAAAAATACAAGCAAGCACTTCATAATTATCTGATAATTACAAATGATTACTGTATTTTACCTATTTTTAAAACAATTCCCAGTTTCCTGAAAATTTGCATAATGTCATAGTTTGTTGTTAGCCTACTTGAATTATGCTTTTGAAAAGTATACTTTTATTGCCTTTTTAAAAAAACCCAAGTTGGGGCCAGGTGCGGTGGCTCACGCCTGTAATCCTAGCACTCTGGGAGGCTGAGGTGGGCAGATTGCTCGAGGTCAGGAGTTCGAAACCAGCCTGAGCAAGAGGGAGACCCCGTCTCTACTATAAAAATAGAAAGAAGTTAATTGGCCAACTAATAGATATAGAAAAAATTAGCCGGGCATGGTGGCGCATGCCGGTAGTCCCAGCTACTTGGGAGGCTGAGACAGCAGGATTGCTTGAGCCCAGGAGTTTGAGGTTGCTGTGAGCTAGGCTGACACCCGGGCACTCACTCTAGCCTGGGCAACAAAGTGAGACTCTGTCTCAAAAAAAAAAAACAACAAAAAAAAAACAAGTTGGATGCATATTTCCGTTTTTAAACACGAAATTCTTAAAGCTGTCAATGTACCTCTGAGAATTGTTATAGCTATACTGCCCAAATTTTGGTATGACATATTTTTAAATATATTTATTTCTGTACACTTTCCATTTCCACTATGATTTATTTCTGAGTTATTCAGAAGTATGTTATTAAACTTCAAAACATGATAATTTTCAAGTAATATATTTTGGTTTTCATTTTTGGTCAAAGAATGTGGTTCATATAATACTGATTCTTTGATATTTGTTAATAATTACTTACCTTGGCCTAATATGTTGTTAGTTTTCATTAAAGATCCATGTGAAGCAGGGCGCGGTAGCTCACGCCTGTAATCCTAGCACTCTGGGAGGCTGAGGCGGGCGGATTGCTCAAGGTCAGGAGTTCGAAACCAGCCTGAGCAAGAGCAAGACCCCATCTCTACTATAAATAGAAAGAAATTAATTGGCCAACTAATATATATAGAAAATTAGCTGGGGATGGTGGCACATGCCTGTAGTCCCAGCTACTCGGGAGGCTGAGGCAGAAGGATTGCTTGAGCCCAGGAGTTTGAGGTTGCTGTGAGCTAGCCAGGCTGATGCCACGGCACTCACTCTAGCCTGGTCAACAAGCGAGACTCTGTCTCAAAAAAAAAAAAAAAGTTCCATGTGTACTTGAAAAAGTTATGTCTTTTCCAATTATTTGAGTGCAGAGTTAGAACAGTCTTGTTAATTGTATTGTTCAAATCTTTTGCAGCTTTATTAATTTGTCTCTTGAGTTATTAAGAAAGATGAGTTGAAATATCCCATTATGATGATGGATTTATCAGGTTTTCCTTTATACACTTTGAAGCTATGGATGTAAATAAATTTAGAATTGAAATCTTTCTGAAGAATTGGATCATTTATCGGCAATTGTTTATACATTTTTTTCTTTGTATTGGTTTAATATTTTTTCACTATTTCTGTTTTCTTGGAGGCCACTGTCAAAATTATGCCTGTCATATTTAATGTAGCAAAGATGCTGAAATTAGTCAGCATCTTTACTGTTTTATGGAACAGTACTATGACCTGAGAATGCTTTAATTCTAGTCATTCTTTTTTATGAGTTTTAACCTCTTCTTGTCTTGTATTTTAGTTCTATTGTTTTTAACCCTATAAATTAGATATTGAAAATACTATTAAATAAACAAACCTAGTTGAGTTGGGCGCTGTGGCTTGTACCTGTACTCCCAGCAACTCAGGAGGCTGAGGTGGGAGGATTGCTTGAGCCCAGGAATTTGAGGCTGCAGTAAGCTATAATCACGCCATTGCGCGCCAGCATGGGTGACAGAGTGAGACCCCTGTCTCAAAAAATAAACAAAAATAAAATAAAATAAATAAACAAAACTAACGTTTTATTTGATCAAGCTACATATTTTCTGGTTTTCTCCTTTATGGTTTTCCTTTGTATCAATTTCTTAATGTAGTGCATCCTTTAAATTTTTTTTTTTAGAGGTTTAATGATAAGGTTGAGAAACTTTGAGAATGCTTCTCTGAAAATGTTTTAATTTCACCCTTGTTTCTGAAAGATAGTTTTGTTAAGTACGCAGTTTTAGATTGGCAATTATTTTTCTCTTATTTCTTTGCAGATTTAATTCTGTTACCTCTGGATTCCTTTTTGCTCTGGAGAAGTCAGCAATTAGTCTGATTTTTTTCTTAGTTTAAACTGTCTTTTTTTCTCTCCTACCTGCTTTAAAAAAGAGACAGAGAGAGAGACAAAGTCTTGCTCTATCACCCAGGTTGGAGTGCATTGGTGTAACCACAGCTCATTACAACCTCAAACTCCTGGGCTCAAGTGATCCTCCCACCTTAACTTCCCAAGTAGCTGGGACTGCAGACCCATGACACTGCCTGACTAATATATATATATATTTTTTTTGGTAGAGAAAAGGGGGGTCTCCGCTCTTTTGCTCAGGCTATTCTCGAACTCCTGACCTCAAGCAATCCTCTTGCCTCAGCCTTCCAAAGTGCTAGGATTACAGACATGAGCCACCACACCTGGCCTCCTAACTGCTTTTAATATTGTCTTTTCTAATATTGCCTCTTTCCTGTTCTAATTTGATGCCCTTCAAATGTTTCTATTAGATGTATAAACTTTTATATTATCAAACTATGCTGCATTATGAATGTTTTCAGAACTGTCTCTAGTTTACTCACTTGCTCCTTCCTTATCTGTATCAAATCTTCTGTTTAACCCATTGATTATATCTTTCATTTGTAGAAATTCTGTTTGATTCTTTTTACATCTGCCTTTTCATTTTATTCATTAATCATTTTAATGCCTTTATTCTTCATATATTTTTAAAATTTCTATTTCAGATTTTACATCTCATAGTTCTAAAATCTGAAATATGTGGAGATCTGAATCTGCCCTTTCATTTCTGTGTGCTATTTATCGTGGTGGTGGTGGTGGTGGTGGTGGTGGTGGTGAAGGTGGTAATAGTGATGGCAGGGGCATCAGTGATGTGTTTGTGTGTGTTTTGATTGTGAGCTCATTTTGCAGGGGAAACCTTATCTGTGGAAATTCTTTGGTGTTAGGGCCAAGGATACATTACCTCAGAAAGGATTTGTTTTCATTTGTGCTACCAACCCTGAACCAAATTCGATTTGTGTTAAGCAACTTTATATAGAAGCAATCTTGGTACACTATAGAAAATTAGAAGAAAATAGACAATACAAACATGGTTCCAGTGCCAGAAGATTGCCACTACTATCACCTGAATATATATACATCTGGATCTTTTTTGTGTATTTGTGTGTTTGTAAATTGTTTCAACATGTTTACGTGTTAGTTTTAAACTGGAACTATGTTATTGCAAATCCTTGGGGGAACAACCCTTCCTAATCCCTACCAAATGCCAAGAAAGTCAGCTTCTTCCTTTTCTTCCTTTGCAAGGTTCAATTGGTTGTTTTTTTGTTTTGTTTTGTTTTTTCCCATCTTACCTTTTAGCTGAGAATTATTTTTTACTTTCTTTTGAGCTCAGTCATACATTTTAAAACATTTTAAAAAAATTATCTGGCATGCCTGCCTGCCTTCCTTCCTTCCATCCCTCCATCCATCCATCTAGTCCTCCTCATTGCTAAAAATAGAAGTCTGTGCTAAATTTTTTATAAACATTTTGTTAATACTTGCCAATATTTAGGCTGTCATTTTCCTCAATTGATTTGAATTAGTTTTTTATGTCATATTCTTTTATCTTTTACTATTGTTTTATATCAATATACTATTGTTCTTTATTTTTTAAACGTAAGACTAGATTGTGATAAAGTGACTCATTTTGACAACCATCATCAGTTTTGCCCTTATTCGAATGATATGCTACATTTTTGCTTTCATATTGTCTTTAGGGAGGTGGAAGTTTCCCTGGGAAATTCCCTTGAGAATTCTAGGAGAAAAGATGTAAAAGGTGAAGGGATTTCTGCATTGGTCTTAGGTTGTCAATGCAGCCTAATTCTGTATTGTATACTACTGCTTTCTTCTGTGTTTTTTGTAATAACTTTGTTGAGACATCATTCACAAACCATATAATTCACCCATTTAAGGTGTCCAGTGGTTTTTAGTATATTTACAGAGTTGTGTAACCATTAACACAACCAATTTTAGAACATTTTCGTAGCTCCCAAAAGAAACTATGTATCCATTAGCAGTGACTCCTCATTTCTCCCCATCCTGCACACCACCATCACCCCTCCAGCCCCCATCCTTAGGCAACCACTAATCTATTTTCTGTATTTATGGATTTGCCTATTCTGACCATTACATATAAATTGGAATCACATAATATGTGGTTTTTTGTGACTGGTTTCTTTCACTTAGTATTATGATTTCAAGGTTCATCCATGTTATAGCATGTATTAGTATTTCATTCCTTTTTATTACTACTGTCTTCCTCCTTGCCCATGCCAGATATTAAAATTATCTTCATGTTAATCATTGTTAATTTAATGATGTTATGGTTGCAAAGAGATTTGGGGAGGAGGGAATTGTTAAATCAGTCACTTCAACAGTTTAGATAAGTAGTCTCAATGAAGGGTGATTTTATGCCTTGGGGCACATTTGTCAATTGGAGATATTTTTGGTTGTCACAGCCAGAGTTAGTACTGGTATCTAGTGGGTAGAAGCTAGGGATACAGCTAAGCATCCGATGGTGCACAGGACAGTTCCTCACAACTAAGAATTATCCAGTCTAAAATGTTAATAGTACCAAGGTTGAGACCAAGATTGAGAAGTCCAAATGTTAATTGTGCCAAAATTATATTAAAATAGAAAATTTGATTTGTCTTTACTATCACTGTTGTTTTAGACACGTCTGTAACTATTTCATTATCATTTGTTAGATCGCCAGTCATACCCTTTTCTTTTTGTTAATCTAAGTTTGAATACCAGTGTACTAACTCGGGGCTAGGACTGACTGAATATCTTAACATTTTATTTATACTGTTTCAGATATTTAAGACAAAATATTACTGGGGTTGAAATTCCCCATGTACCACTCCCCTGTGTACTTCTGTTAGAGATAGTTGACCAAATCATCTCTGCCCTCCCAACCCCATGCTTCATATTCTTAGATAAAATGTTTCTAAGACACTCTAAATATCTACAGTGATAGTCCTTATAATTTTGCTTCAAGGCAAGGAAACTAAAAGTTAGAATGAATTAGAAATGTATTCCTTGAAATCCATTTAGTTGTTACATATGTAGCTATAGCAGTTCTCTCTTGAAATAACTGTCTTTTAACTGGAAAATTTAGTGAATACCCAAACTCAGTATCATTCCTTAGAGTAAGTTATTTTAGCAATTTCGACACATATTCGTAATTCTATTTATCTAACATGATACAGATATTGAGTATGAACTTTAAATGCATGCATATTTTTGGCAAAAGGTTTTTTTTTTTTTGAGACAGAGTCTCACTTTGTTGCCCAGGCTAGAGTGAGTGCCATGGCATCAGCCTAGCTCACAGCAACCTCAAACTCCTGGGCTCAAGCAATCCTTCTGCCTCAGCCTCCCGAGTAGCTGGGACTACAGGCATGCGCCACGATGCCTGGCTAATTTTTTCTATATATATTAGTTGGCCAATTAATTTCTTTCTATTTATAGTAGAGATGGGGTCTCGCTCTTGGTCAGGCTGGTTTCGAACTCCTGACCTGGAACAATCCGCCCGCCTCGGCCTCTCAGAGTGCTAGGATTGCAGTCGTGAGCCACTGTGCCTAGCCCAAAAGTTTTTTTTTTAAGGCTAATAAATGCTATGCTGAGGAATAATTTTTTGAAACTCTAAAATATATATTTATAAGGAATTATAGATAAAAGATTATTTCTAATTAGCATTTGGTATTATGCCACCCACTGACCATGGGCAAATGCTTTAGTGGATCCAGAATTACACATCTTTAAAAAGCAATACAAGTTAACTTTTTATGGTTATTTGCTTCTTCATTGTAGTATTAAGTTAAATAAAGGATTCAAAAAGAGTTGAATACTTTGAAAAACGTATTCCTCAGTAATGAGTTATATCTGAACATGTAGTCAAAGCCAATTTGTAAGGAAACTGTCATAGTTATTTCTATAATCTTGAAAAGATTCAGTAATATCACATGGCACCCATCCATACTGTAGTCTAATTCATCCCAGACCCTTTGCATATCTTCAGTGTCAGTGGGCTGTAATGGCAGACATGATGTGTTCCTTCATTTCTTCAAGAAAAAGGTGGTATAAACAAAAGTTGCTACCTAAAATGAATAACTTGAAAGCTTTCAGTTCTTTCTGAGTGATCTTGTACTGTCAGCATAGACATATATTCTTGTCATTAAAGTTTAACAGAAGTCAAAGGAAGTTAAATGTCTGTTGTACATAAAGGAGAGAAATAATGATGCTGAGAAAGAACCCACTTTCATGAAACGATTATAAGATAGGATTTTTTTTTTTTTTTTTTTTGAGACAGAGTCTCACTTTGTTGTCCAGGCTAGAGTGAGTGCCGTGGCGTCAGCCTAGCTCACAGCAACCTCAATCTCCTGGGCTTGAGTGATCCTTCTGCCTCAGCCTCCCGAGTAGCTGGGACTACAGGCATGCGCCACCATGCCCGGCTAATTTTTTATATATATATCAGTTGGCCAATTAATTTCTTTCTATTTATAGTAGAGACGGGGTCTCGCTCTTGCTCAGGCTGGTTTTGAACTCCTGACCTCGAGCAATCCGCCCGCCTCGGCCTCCCAAGAGCTAGGATTACAGGCGTGAGCCACAGCGCCCGGCCAAGATAGGATTTTTAATAAAGTAGTTAGCTTTTTAAAATTTTTACTTTTTGTTGAGGAAGCTTTCTTAATTTTAATATCAGTTGAAATTTTTAGTTCCCTCAGAGAAATAACAAAAAGAACAAAAAGATGCACATGCTCAATCTTTTATTGAGGAATGTTGTTTAACTTTCTCGCACCTAAAACCTCAGATTTCCAAATGATAAATATTAGACCAATTGAGTTGGATTTATTTTGTAGACTTTTTTTTTTTTTTTTGAGACAGAGTCTCACTTTGTTGTCCAGGCTAGAGTGAGTGCCATGGCATCAGCCTAGCTCACAGCAACCTCAAACTCCTGGGCTTGAGTGATCCTTCTGCCTCAGCCTCCCGAGTAGCTGGGACTACAGGCATGCGCCACCATGCCCGGCTAATTTTTTATATATATATCAGTTGGCCAATTAATTTCTTTCTATTTATAGTAGAGACGGGGTCTCGCTCTTGCTCAGGCTGGTTTTGAACTCCTGACCTTGAGCAATCCGCCCGCCTCGGCCTCCCAAGAGCTAGGATTACAGGCGTGAGCCACAGCGCCCGGCCAACATTTTGTAGACTTTTGATATATTAACTTAAATCTATCTGGTATTACTATTTTAGTTATTTATTAATTTAAAGTGAGAAACGATTTAAGAGCTTATATATCTTTCTTTTTTTTAGTTGTAGTATATCATACCAGCAGAAAAGTGTACAAATCATAAGTTATAGTTTGATGAGTAATTACCTAGTCAGCATTACCCATATAACAACTATTGGATATCTTTTTATAGGAGACTTTGCAGCAATTGATCATGATGTCATTGCCAAATGTCTTGATCATTGGCAAAAATCCCTTCTCTGGTAAGTATTAAAATTACCATAATGTGATAGAATGTCTTATCTTTGTGCAGTACTATAGTGCTTACCAATAACTTGCTTGTTTACATTAACTCACTAGGTTTTTCACAACTCTGTAGAAGTTGAAAATGATGTTCCATTTTATAGAGAGAAAACAAGCTTAGAATATTTGTAAGTTGTGGGTGAAAACAGACAAATTTTATTTTAAGACCAGTGTTTTTCCTACTATACCAAACTGATACTTTTCTGAGATGATTTTTAGTGTCTCATTATAAACAGGTAAAGAAGATGATGGTAATTATAAGTTTGAAGAAATATAACCTTAGAAAAAATACGATTTTGAAATAATTTTCAGGTTTCTATTTATATATCTACTATCCACCATTGCCAGAGTTGTTTGAATCTTAGCTTTTACTGATACATTTTAATTGATGCTAAACTACTTCTGATTATTTAAATTATTTTCTTCAAAATTTTCTGCCCTTTATTGGATTTTAAGTGTGATGTTTCGGAATTTTAATTTTTAAACAATTGCGGACATTAGCAGCTACCTATTAATTTCAACAATGGACTTATCCTTACAGGCCACATGTTAACCAAATTAAGTATATCTTCTCTAATCCTCACACCCCCTCAGTCAAAACAAAGAAAAATAAAACCAAAATAAAAACTAAAATCAAGCAAATATTTTTATAAAGGAAACTAATAATTAGAATGAGTGATTTAGGAGTTTGGATAGTCTTTCGAGATACCCTGGGATGTTTGATAATACAAATTAAAAAATTAAAAAGTTTTACATGGAGGATGGACTTATTTTCAATTCTACATGTAGTTAGTAAGTACCTACCAAGTTGGGGACCAGGAATATAAAGAAATGGTCCATGTTCTGGAGGATCTTGTGGTTTGGTAAGAGATACACAGATTACTAGAAAATTATTAATTAGTAACAATTAATATGAAGCAGAGATGTACAAAATGTTAAGCCATATAAAATATTGAGCAATCATTCTTAAAATTAGCATATTAGTGAAGTTTGGGGACCATTGGTGATTGGATCGGGGAAGACTACACAGAGATGTTAGAGCTGTGCCTAGGATTGTAATTAGTGAGTAGTTCTCTAGGGGATAAGGAGATAGGAGAAGAAAGACATGCATAGGGAATACCAGAAATGAAGTCAGAGGAGTGTATATGTATATGTGGGAAGAATGATGATTGACATGGTTCAGTATAGCTAGAAAGTAGGCTGTTTCTAGGAGGAAATGTCTGAAAAGATTTGGACTTTATCATAGATAGGCTTGTCTGATGGTGAAAATCTGGCCCAAAGAAGTAATTTTTTTTTGCCAGCTGAATATTTTAAGAAAATCTTAATTGAATACTGTTAGGGAATGTTCTCTTCAGTTCTGTTACAGATTGTTAACTTCTGTTTAGCTTGTTATGTACATTTATTTTAACAACCTCATGGTAACACATTTAAGATTCTGATCCTTATGAACTTACACAGTGGAAAACCATTTAAATTTTATAGGCAGAGGTATCATAAGATCTGTGCTTTAGTAAGAAAACACTAATAGGCCTAAGAGGAGCCAGACCTATTAGGAGCCATTTTGGCTGCCTTTGTGGCATGCCCCGTATCAGCATAATTTGCTAGGTTCTTGATTTGGTAGTGTGGTGTAGTATAAGTATTTATGGAAAAGGAATGGATTCATAGTTAGCATTCTTATTGCACAGAGCCCTGAAGCCTATTTATCTATCCAGCAGCCCTTCAAAATTGCAGTCCTTGCCCACTTCTTCTTCTGTTACCATGTTGTACACACAGAGCTGCTTTTAAAAATTCTCCACTGTATTTGCTTATAGACTACATCAAATTATTGTGAATATTACCTCCAGATGTGATTCTTCCAATATAAGAAAAAGAATTGAAATAGAATAAAAATTTGTACTTAGTAATTGTTTTTATTTCAGAACAAGGCACAGAAGAAGTTAAAAAGCTGCTTTTACTTTTACTGGGTTGTGCAGTTCAAGTAAGTTAAAAATATTTCTTCATATTTTCATTTTAACAACCTTTTTATGTTTTTTTCAGATTTTAGTTCTGAAAGACTTAAGGATGGACCATTGGTTTTGGCATTTCTGTTAGAAAATTTTAAATAACTGTATGACCTCCTAAGGAGATTATCTTGAGATTACCTTCTATTTCAAAATTTGGATATATTATAGTTATATAATTTCTAATTTTTAATTATTCTGAGGCTTCTGGTGACCATAAGTTTTTCACGTTTCCTCAGACGTACCCTTAGAAACTCCTCCCAATCTTTTCTTACTCAGCAGGCATCCCGCTGGCCACTTATGGGTGTTTTTGCCCATTTGGTTTTTTTACTTCAAAATGAGATATGTGCAGTGTGCATAGGAATTTGTTCATAGTTTTGTTTATAGTTTGGCCCTCCAAAGGTCTGAGGGACAGTGAACTGGCCCCTGTTTAAAAAGTTTGAGGACCCCTGTTCTATAGCAAAGAAAAGAAAAAAAAAACTCCTCCCAAAATATCCTTATGATTTATGTTTGCATGTATGTTATGTTTTAGGAGAAGGAAAGGGAGATTAATACTAAAAAAACCTTGCCTCCTTTTTAATGTTGTATGTTTTAATGTTCTGTTTATACTGTGGAGTACTAGTCAGCCATAAAAAAGATGAATTAATACCTTTGCACCAATCTGGATGAAATTGGAGACCGTTCTTCTAAGCGAAGTATTGCAAGAATGGAAAAACAAACACCACTCACTATTAAATAGGAACTAACCTATGAGCATGCAAGTGCACAGAGGGAAGTAAAACTCAGTGGAAAGAAATGGGGCTGGGGGAGGGAGGGGAAGAAACCAACCTAATGGGTACTATCAACACTATTTGGGGCCAGGCGTGATGGCTCACGCCTATAATCCTGGCACTCTGGGAGGCCAAGATGGGTGGATCGCTCAAGGTCAGGAGTTCAAAACCAGCTTGAGCAAGAGCGAGACTCCATCTCTACTAAAAATAGAAAGAAATTAATTGGCCAACTAAAAATATATAGAAAAAATTAGCCGCTCATGGTGACACATGCCTATAGTCCCAGCTACCTGGGGGGCTGAGGCAGAAGAATCACTTGAGCCCACAAGTTGGAGGTTGCTGTGAGCTAGGCTGGCGCCACAGCACTCTAGCCCGGGCAACAAAGTAAGACTCTGTTTCAAAAAAAGAAAAGAAAAGAAAAAGAAAAGCACTATTTGGGTAACAAGCACACCTATAGAAGCACTCAAATATTACAAAAACAATTCATATAACCTAAAACATTTGTACTCCCTTAATATTATGAAATTAAAAAATAAAAAAGCAGGGCTGGGTGTGGTGGCTCATGCCTATAATCCTAGCACTTTGGGAGGTCAAGGCAGGGAATTGCTTGAGGCCAGGAGTTCAAGACCAGCCTGGCCAAGATAGCAACATAGATAATATAGCAAGCTTGTCTTGACAAATTTTTAAAAATTAGCCAGCATGGTGGTGTGCACTTGTAGTAGTCCCAGGATGTTCAGACAGGAGGATTGCTTGAGCCCAGGAGTTCAAGGTTATAGTGAGCTATGATCATGCTAATTTTTTCTATATATATATTAGTTGGCCAAGTAATTTCTTTCGATTTTTAGTAAAGATGGGGTCTTGCTATTGCTCAGGCTGGTTTTGAACTCCTGACCTTGAGTGATCCACTGGTCTTGGCCTCCCAGAGTGCTAGGATTACAGGCGTGCTGGGAGCTATATTCTTGAACAAAGTATGTTATTAATGTTTTATGCTGTATAATGTGCAGGTGTTTACTTCACAGTTAAGTATTAAGTTAAATATGGTGTTTATAGTCATTGCTGTTCTAATTTGATCATCAGATCCTGAATTAGAAACAGATCCTTAATTATTTACAGACTTTATGTACTATATTTGCTTTTAAAAATACCCTTTGTTGGCCGGGCACGGTGGCTCATGCCTGTAATCCTAGCACTCTGAGAGGCTAAGGCAGGAGGATCGTTTGAGCTCAGGAGTTCGAGACCAAACTGAGCAAGAGTGAGACCCCGTCTCTACTGAAAAAAATAGAAAGAAATTAGCTGGACAACTAAAAAAAAAAATAAAATATATATATATATATATATAAATTAGCCAGGCATGGTGGCGTATGCCTGTGGTCCGAGCTACTCGAGAGGCTGAGGCAGGAGGATCACTTGAGCTCAGGAGTTTGAGGTTGCTGTGAAAGAGGCTGATACCATGCACTCTAGCCTGGGAAACAGAGTGAGACTCTGTCTCAAAAAAGAAAATAAGTAAATAAAAATACCCTTTGTTAGTTAGTGTTACGTATAGTTAGATAACAGTGACAGTATAAATTTGGTTGTTACTGGTGGTTATTTCTTAGTTGTTATTGCTGGTTACTAAAATTGACAATGGGAATGGAGCAGAACCAAGGACCTTTTTTAAATGAGCAGTTTAGAGAGAAGTCTCAAGATATTAAAGAACCCATTGTTAGTTAATATTATCTGTAAGAGGAATAAAAAAGACTAAAAAATCTGAGCCACTTATCCCCACCTATTTTTTTTTTTAATGTTTTTTGGAGACAGGGTCTTGATCTGTCTCCTTGGGTAGAGTACAGTGGCATCATTGAAGCTCACTGAAATCTCAAACTCCTGGGCTGAAGGAATCCTCTTGCCTCAGCCTCCTAAGTAGCTGGGACTATAGGCCCGCACCGTGATGCCCAGCTAATTTTTCTATGTTTAGTAGAGATGGGGTCTCACTCTTGCTCAGGCTGATCTCAAACTCCTGAGCTCAAGTAGTCCTCCTGCCTCGGCCTCCCAGAATGCTAGGATTACAGGTGTGAGCCACCACACCCAGCCTCCCCACATATATTCTATAATTCACATGATGGTATTCCCATTTGCTAGAAAATAAAAAGGATGTCGTGAAATAATGTTCTTTTTTCTAACTAAAGCTTTAATAGGTTAACCAACCCCTACTCTTCTAGTTCTGCCAATGGGTGTTTCCTAAAGAAATTTAGCAAGAATATTTTATACTTGGATGACTGTTGATGTTCATGTTTTAAAACACCTTACAACATTTTACTTTACTAGTGAAATAAAGCAGAGCTATGAAATGGACATTTTTTTTCTTAAGAGATAGGGTCTTCCTTTGTCACCCAGGCTAGCGTATAGTGTCTTGATCTTAGTTCACTGTAGCCTTGAACTCCTGGGCTCAAGTGGTCCTCCCACCTCAGCCTCAGCCTCTGCCTCCCAAGTAGCTAGGACTATAGGCTCATCTAACCACACATGGCTAATTTTTAAATTTTTTGTAGAGAAGGTTTTTCACTATGTTGCCCAGGCTGGTCTTGAACTCCTGGCCTCAAGCAATCCTCCTGCCTCACAGAGCCAAGGATTATAGGCATGAGCCACTGCAAAATCTTTCCTAAAACTATTTAATGAAACATTGCTCAGAAGTCAACTGTCATATCATCAGATATGTAAATTCCTTCTTATTGATGCACAGAACTAGATACTGCATAAAGCAAATGATATATAAATAGTTTTGGCCTTGTAAGGAACCTACCTTCCAAAATAGTTTATATTAATATTTGTAATTTTGGCATGTAATTAAAACAAGGTTTTTCGGCCAGGTGAGGTGGCTCATGCCTGTAATCCTAGCACTTTGGGAGGCCAAGGTGGAAGGATTGCTTGAGCTCAGGAGTTCGAGACCAGTCTGAGCAAGAGCGAGACCCATCTCTACTATAAATAGAAAGAAATTAGCCAAACAACTAAAAGTAGAAAAAAAAAATTAGCTGGGCGAGGTGGTGCATGCCTGTGGTCCAAGCTCTACTCGGGAGGCCGAGGCAGGAAAATCGCTTGAGCCCAGGAATTTGAGGTTGCTGCGAGCTAGGCTGACGTCACAGCACTCTAGCCTGGGCAGCAGAGTGAGACTCTGTCTCAAGAAAAAAACAAACAAGGTTTTTCTATCATGTTAAATATTCTTAATTTTTCCTATAAATATATTAGCTTGTTATATTTACCTGTACTTTAGATTCATATAATCTGGAAAAGGTTTGCCAGGTAGATATTTCAAATGGTTATTAGAAAAGGGAAGGAAAATGTTTGGATAGACTAAGGTATTAGAAATGGTATGGAATGGGAAAATTATGTAAGAAGATAAGTACATAAATATTCATGGGTATGACATAAAGTAAGCTGGAAAATAAAGGTGGTTTTGAGATGTTTAGAGAAGAATAGGGCAGTGTGGAGGTAAGCTTTAAGGTTGAGTTCATTAACTTTATCATTAACTTTAACTTGAGAATAGTTCAAAGAGCCAATAAACAAAATATATTATTAATGTGAAAGAGTGACTTTAGGAAACTGTGGCTAGAGCCAGTGAAGAATAATCTATAATATTTATACTATATTTGGAGGATGTCCAGGATCCAAAGTAGTATAGCACCTGTTATGTTAATAGGTGGATTTGTATCCTGGATGTCCTCCAAACATTTTATAGATTACTATGTATATCTTCACTATAGCACCTGTTATATTGTAAGCATTAAAAAAATAAGGTCATCAATACTTTTAAAACACAGAATAAACCAATATTTTTTAGTTCAGATTTTAGAAAAAAGATACAAACTCAAGGAATTTAAATTTTAGAGGCAGCCCAAATAACAGTACGAGGTGATAATTACTGTAATGCAAGACACATTGATGTGAATAGAAGTATTAAGCAAAGATGTTGAGAAAAGAACATACTCGGGGAACATCAAGTATAGCTGGAATCTATTAATAACATTCGTGGGGGAGAATGGCAAGAGATTTTAGACTGGAGAGTTTACATGGATTGAGTTATGAAGGACTGGATTTGCTACTTGAAGATAAAGTTGAGAATTCATCTTGTGTGCATTTTAGAGCCACTAGTAATAAATCATATGTATAATAATCAAAATCTCCTGTTGGCCTTCAGCTGTGACTATATAAATGATTAGAAATCTTTATTATAAGAGCCAAAATGTGCTTCAGGACAAGAAACCAAGGTGTATCATCAATTCTAGGAGCTATTAATTTCATCACAACAATTATTAATATAAAACTTCAGCCAACAGATAACTGTTGGAACACTTTCTAGAATGTCCTCTCTTACAGAATATTTGTTCATCTAGTAGTTGAACAGGTTAAAATTCTAGTATAATATAAAAGTGGCATAAATATGTTTTTCCTTACCTGGGTCACTTTTATCTGTTACATAATTGTAGGTAGAAATAGCAAGATAAAGGTTCCTGATATGATATTACTGTTCAGGAATTCAGGGTGCCACAGGTTATAAAAGATATATTCATAAAAAGAAATTTTAGAAAAGCAAGCATTAGGAAATGGAAAAAATTTTTCTTCTTTTGAAGAAAAAAATATGAAATTCCTGAGAGGAAGTAGCATTCAAAAACAGTAAAGTTAACTGTTATCCGAAGATTTTACCTCACAGAATAAATTAGAATTAAGACTTTTTAATCCTTGATCGTACATAAATAAAGGCGATAGAAGTAACTTTGAATATGAAGAAAACTGTCCAAGGCCAGGATTTGGACATTTTTATTATTGGCTGGGCAACCCAGTCAAGTTCTTCTAGAGTCTTTTTCAGTGGATAACACAAGTCTCCCAAACCAGTGCTGAGCATCACTTAGAATTTTCACAGATGTATGGCTCTTCATCATAGCCCTGAGATAGTTGTGAGATTCCCAAGCAAAGTCATTCTGAACAGGAGGAAAATTTTTGCAGTGTTTGTTTTTGGTAAATTTCTTTGTTTTAAGACCATGTAAAATTCACCCCTTTTCAGCAGAACTTAGGTTTTATATCAGTGCTGGCTGTTTAGTATCCAGAAATATTACTTATTTTGGACTTTGGCTAGGTTAGGTAGTGTTTAAAGTAACTGAGTGTCAAGTGTGGTTGGAATTAAATTTTGACCTTTATTTATACACTCAGAAGTCATTCTAATGTTAGTATTTGACTCTGAAACCCAGTTTTGAACTTGGTCAGTTTGAGGGCTACAGTCTATTGTTTACCTATCAGTGATCTGTAAAGCATCTTAAAGGTTAGCATTTTAGAACTTTTAATTATCATGTTATTTTTTAGAAAATAAAACAATTTCTAGCTGAGACATTTCTTTTTCTGAGACTATATAAAAATAGCAAATGTCTCTTAAGTTAAAGAGAGGCTGTGCACCGTGACTTGTGCCTGCAGTACCATCTATTCCAGAGGCTGAGGCAAGAGGATCACCTGACGTCAAGAGTTCAAGACCAAGGGCCGGGCACGGTGGCTCACGCCTGTAATCCTAGCACTTTGGGAGGCCGAGGCGGGCGGATTGCTCAAGGTCAGAAGTTCGAAACCAGCCTGAGCGAGACCCCGTCTCTACCAAAAATAGAAATAAATTAATTGACCAACTAAAAATATATATACAAAAAATTAGCCAGGCATGGTGGCGCATGCCTGTAGTCCCAGCTACTCGGGAGGCTGAGGCAGTAGGATCGCTGAGTCCCGGAGATTGAGGTTGCTGTGAGCCAGGCTGACGCCACGGCACTCACTCTAGCCTGGGCAACAAAGTGAGACTCTGTCTCAAAAAAAAAAAATAAAAAAAATAAAATAAAATTGAAATTTCAGTTTCTCGGTTGCACTAGTTACATTTCAAATACTCAGGAGCCACACATAGCTAGTGATTACTGTATTATCCAGTGCTGAACAATTTGGTCTGATTATTCAACTTTAGAGTTTGAATCTTTTTGTGTCTTGTTCATGTTTACAGTCTTTTTCTTTTTCTATCCTCTAAGATCCTATGAAATTCATTCTTTGTTCTTTAAGAAAGCTTATTTATAAAACATTTTCAGAATTTTTTAAACTCTTAGAGTTTAAAATAAGATGAGATTTAGTAGAAACTCTGTGTATTTTAAGGGTAAAGGAAAAATTCTCATTGATTTAAATTAAATTAATTTAAAGGAAAAATTCTCATTGTGCTAATGGGTGAGCTCCTAAATATAGTTATAAATAAAGAAATCATGGCTCTGGGGCTTAAAAGAGGGAAGTATTATCTGTTTAAACTGAAGGTAGAGAAAGATATGGCAGTTAAATTGGGGGACTCTTTGGTGAGTCATAGTCATTACCTTTTATAATAACTGCCATTTTATATTCTGATTGGCTCAGAAACTATGTATAGGTCAACAATTTTAAATGCATTAAAAAATTGAGGTTACTATACCTGAAAAGTCAGTATTTTATGTGTGCTACAAATGTACAATTAAAAGTAATTCTTAATTGTTCTCACAAGGCCTGTTTGCTAGACAAAATACTGTTTGCTCAAACTGGATATGGAAAAACCAAAACCTTTGTGTATTGTTGATGAGAATGTAAAATGCTAAAGCCACTATGGAATACAGTATAGGAATTACTAAAAAAATTAAAAATACAATTACCATATATATAGTCCAGCAATTCCCCTTTTGAGTAGATGCCCAAAAGAATTGAAAGCAGGGACTCGAATACTGTTTGCTAGACAAATTTTTATTTTTAAACCCACTAATTTTTATCCCATCCACCCAAAACTCTCACTTCGTAATCACAACTAGGAAGTGTACATTCCTGTAATTTAGTTTTAACCGTATCATCATAATAATTTTGTTTTTTTTACAAGATATAGAACTTTCTGTATTGATGATAATGTGCTTAGTTAAATTGTATGGCAATAGAAATAGAGTGTTAACAATTTGATAAGATAAATATGTAGAGTATAAATCAGAGCCTTGTAAGTTTCATGATCAAAGAACCAGTTTTTCTTTTTGTGAATATATTGTCTTCATTAGTATTTCAGTAATTGGCCCAGGAGATGGATCTAAGTTAGACAAGGCAGTGCTTTCTATTTTGTATGCACTTCTCATTTACTAGCTACAAGAATACAGTTATACTAGTATTTGGATTGCAACATACAAGATGTAGATAGAGGCAGAGATTAAGATGCATGTTAAACTGTTGATACCGACTGGAAGGAAAAAAGATTAGGTTCACATTTTAATAATTTTAATTTATATAAAGCTTTTAAAAAAGTTACACAATAAAGAATTGCTGCCTTTATTCTATTTGGTTACATGTGTGCTTGTATATACCTTCTTAAATTTTACCCCTGGTAAAGTTTTGTTATGTTAGGAATAAGTCAGATATTTATTGTATTACCCTATAAATGTTGAACTGGGCTACAAAAATGGGTTTCTTTTATTAAGATTGAAGGAATGAAGATGTGAGAAAGAATTGTAAGCTTGAAATAAAAATTGCTTAAAAATTTTTTTTCCAAGAAGAAAGGCTGTGTTGTTTGGTGATAGCCAGGGACTGACTGAGCATTTTGGCTGTATTCCGAATTCTGCCACTGACTCACTGTGTTTTTTGGCAAGTAACTTATCCTCCCTGAAACAAGTTCTTGATTCTTTACTTCTCTGTTTGTAAAGTTAGCATAATAATATTGTACTGACCTCAGATGGGTTGGGTAATGGTTTCCCACTTTAGAACTTTCCAGCATAAAAATAGTATAGATTTTCATTGCTTTGCTTTTTAAAATATATATTTCTAAATTGCTGTCTATTAGGTAAGCATATTGGACAATTTAAATGCAAAACAAAACCGTTACTGTACTGTTCAAAACATAGGCAAGCCTGATGAAGTTTAGTTATTTGTAACATTAAGGACTGTACCATTCAAAGCATGAATGATTATTTTATTCATTTATTTTAGTGTCAGAAAAAAGAAGAATTTATTGAAAGAATTCAAGGTTTAGATTTTGATACAAAAGCAGCAGTTGCCGCACATATTCAAGAGGTATGAAATTTATACAGTTTTTATGTACTGTTTATGAAACTGTGGTGTGTTTATTTGTATATCTCCAAAAATGCTTAAAGTCATAGGTTAAGCAAAAACAAATCAAGATGAAATATAAATTAACCCTGCTTTTATACAAATTGTCTTCTCTTTAGAGATAGTTCTTTAAATGAATCTTATACATGGCACAGTGCTAACTACAAATGTACCATTGCCTTTATCTATAGAGACATAGGCAGAAAGTGTTTTTTGAGGAATGAACTATATATGTCTTTGTTAGATGGACAGAATGAATAGTTTAGTTAATGGAAATAGCCGAAAGTGGAACACTGCTTGTAATTTAAAATGATAGTGAGGGAAGATGATAAGCTTAGTTGTTCTAGTGATTTTCTTTTGAATGAATGGACATAGCATAATTTTTATTGAAGATATTACTTGAATTATAAACACATTAATGATTTGTAGCAACCATATGAAACTTAAATCTAGGGCATATTGTACAGTGTCAAATAATTGAAGTTAATAAAATTTATTTGTTAAGATTTACTTTAAAAGCTGCTATTTCTGCTTCTATCTATTTTGGGGCTTTTAGTCTATAAAGGCTTTTCAGACTTACAATATATTAAATTTTACATGTTGATAAGAAAAGAGAAAGGAGAAAATTTTTAAATAGTGAAAATTTATAGTACTTAAAATATTCTTTATTTAGATGACTTCGTGTTCCACAGAGCATCTTTTTGCTTAGTTAACATTCATAGAGCCCAGATTTCTTGTAACATAATCGTCAATAGTAAGCATATTAGTACTTTACAAGATACAGTTTTATTGGTAATCTCCCTTTATACATGTTTGTTTGTGCTAGCTATGTGGTTTTATTTCATTTTGAATAAATACTACCTAAGTATTCCAGGTTACTGAATTTGCCACCATCCGTGAAAGTTATTATTTGCTGCTTATTGTAAAAGTTAAAGCAACATATCAAAATCACAGTGAGAAATAGAAAATAAGCAATAAGTATTCATTTATATAACTTTTCCATTCTTATATATATCTTTATAATAGGAATCCTTTCTCCTAAGGTTCACAACAGTGTGATCTTCAGAATCTGTAAAGACTTAGCTATTCCAAATATAAAAGTGCAATAACATATATCCTACAAGATTAAAAACCTCTTGCTTTTGAATTCAAGTAAAATAAATTAAAAGTCTTACCTAAAGAAAAGTTCAATTGATTTTGTTAAGAAAGTCAGATATATCAATATTATTTTCCATTAGGAATGCCTTGAATTAATTTTTTTGTTGTTGACTAAAAAATGAATGTTAAATTCACTTAAAGATTATATTTAAAAATAATTTTTAGTTGTAATGTTTTCATCATTTAAAATATTCTTTTCATATATTGGCTTTTCATGTTTTTATTATATGAGTTATATAATAACTCATATAATATATGAGTTAATATGATCATATATAATATTTTAGCTAATATTATACTATAATGAAATAGATTTTTCAATATTAGCTTTTTTTGTTGTTGTTGCTTTCCTAAAGGTAACCCATAATCAGGAAAATGTGTTTGATCTGCAGTGGATGGAAGTAACTGATATGTCTCAGGAGGACATAGAACCACTCTTGAAAAATATGGCATTGCATCTAAAAAGACTCATAGATGAGAGAGATGAACATTCGGAGGTTTGTAAATTTCTTTCAGTATATTGTGAAAATTTGCTTTCCAAAAAAGAAAACAGTAGTCTTAGAAGTTTTTCAGAATTGACAGTCTGTTTCTTAGGTCCAGGTAATAAGGTGCTGTGTCTTTTTTGCTGTGGAACATACTTGAACCAGAAGGATGTACAGGAACCCTAAATTGCTAGTAAATGAATTGCAATTAAGTTTTCTTTTCTCCTTTCATTTTAAATTAGTATTATTCTGATTTTGCTTCTGTGTGTTTTTCAAGTCACCCCTACGTCTCTGGCAACAATACAGAAGTGTGAAACTGAAAATATGGTTGATGTAAGTGGAAAAATCATTGCCTTGAAGCATAAGAATTTGCTTAAGGTTAATTTCTTAGTTTTATTGCCACATTTTGAAGTTGGAAAAATAGTATTAATAAAAGGAGAATAGCAGGTGTTCTGAATAAAATGTCTCACAAAAGATCTCAAAATTTTGTAGTTAGTATGATGAAGTGTGATTTTAAAAAGAATTATAAGTTCCTTTAAGATAGAACTTTGCTTTTTAAAGAGAGTAAAATCGTACCAAATTTTCTGTCTGCATTCTCTGAAAGCAATTTATACTTTTAGAGAAGTCTAGACTTTAGTGCACATGGTGGTGAGTAATATTTTCTGAATAGCAGAGCAGAGTACTCTGACATTCAGGAAAACGTATAACTTTTATCATTTGTTCCATTTACATGTGAGAGACAGTTTTGAGCTCATTTATAGAGAATTTGTATGATTACTCTTGAGACCAATGAAAGACTACATAGAGAAAATTCCTAAAGATTTTTTTTTTTTTCAGAACAAATCTTTCATGTCTCCATAGAGGATATTCAGTTCTGATGAGAATTTGCAATTTTTCTTCAGGCACTGAAAGAGAAGAAAATATAACAAATAAATAAGGGTGGCTGCAGTGGCTCACACCTGTAGAGGCTAAGGCAGGAGGATGGCTGGCTGGAGGCCAGAATTTCAAGACCAGCCTAAGCAAAATAGTGAGACCCCTGTCTCTACAATAAAAAAAAAAAAAAAAAAAATTAGCTGGGCTCAGTGGTGTGTACCTGTAGTCTTAGCAAGGCAGGAGGATCTCATGAGCCTAGGAGTTTGAGACTGCAGTGAGCTATAATCATACCACTGCTCTCCAGTCTAGGTATCCAAGCAAGACCCTGTCTCTTAAAATAAATAAAAGAATGAATGAACAAACAAACAACCAAACATTTTTAGAGCAACATTTTTTTTTTTAAATGAGGGCAGTGGCTGGACGAGGTGGCTCACGCCTATAATCCCTAGCACTTTGGGAGGCCAAGGCAGGCGGATTGCTCGAAGTCAGGAGTTCAAAACCAGCCTGAGCAAGAGCGAGACCCCGTCTCTACTCTAAATAGAAAGAAATTAATTGGCCAACTAATATATATAGAAAAAATTAGCCGGGCATAGTGATGCATGCCTATAGTCCCAGCTACTCGAGAGGCTGAGGCAGCAGGACTGCTTGAGCCCAGGAGTTTGTTGCTGTGAGCTAGGCTGACACCATGGCACTCACTCTAGCCTGGGCAACAAAGTGAGACTTTGTCTCAAAAAAAAAAAAAAAAAAAATGAGGGCAGTGAGACCAAAGACAGGAAAGAAAAACATCCCTCTATGTATCAAACTTATCCTGAGATACTTAGGTCATTTCATTTCAGTCTAATTTTTGAACCATATGCTGTGTCGTCTTCTTTTTGTTTTAGTGTCTTTTTACTGCTTCCTTTATTTTCTAGAACATTCCTCTATTTATATTGAAAGTTATTAAGGTGTTACAATAAGGTATCCTCCAGTTTCTGAGGAATTACTTCTAAAAATCTGTACTTTGGTTTTATATGACTGATGGGCATGTATAAAATGTTTGATCTCATTTAAATGAAGTGATTAATATGGAATGAACAAAATGCCTGTCATTACACGACTCTGACAAAACTAAAAGGTATATGAAACACTATATAGATTGATTGTTTGAAAAATCTTTTAAAATATACTATTCTGCCTGATTAGCAGTTTTGTTGAATTTGGGTTTTTTTATACAAGGAATAAAAAGTGGTCCTATTCTCCTGTCTCAGATATTTGGGAAACAAGTTGCTAGCTGGTTTAAATCCAATTCTCTGGGGAAATTTTTTCCCCCAATTTGGGTTACCAATAGATGAATTAGAAAAGATCATTTAAAATAATGACAAGATATTAGATAAATGTAAAGATAGTATATAAATCTAATGATTTTTGTATCATTCAATTGGATTGAAACAAGATTTTCCCTTTAACTTTTTTCTATTTTGATTAATCATTTGTTATAATTGTTTCACTTCAGTCTAAATATATTTCTCTTTACTTTTTTATTCTTAGTGCTATAGAACAGTGACTTCAGTCCTCTCCTTTTATTAAAAGCCAAATAGCAGATTTTATGAATTTAAGATCTCTTCATTATCACTGTTTATTTTATGGCAGATTTTGTACTGTAAGTTTAACACGTACTGTCTTATTAAACTACACAATAGCTCCATTTTAGAAATGAAGATACTCAAGCTCAGAAAAGTTAAGTAACTTGACAGATCTGTCTAATTCCACTGCTTGTGTTCCTAACCATTATATTTTAATACGTTTGTCTAAATCCACGATTGTGTTGAGTACATCTCTAATTCCTTTCCTTAATGATTTCTATAAGTAGATTAATAGGTCATCTAGTAGGTCATCTGATTTTTTTTCTTAGCATTGATGTATCTTTTTTTTTTTGAAACAGAGTCTCACTTTGTTGCCCAGGCTAGTGTGAGTGCCATGGGGTCCTAGCTCACAGCAACCTCAATCTCCTGGGCTCAAGTGATCCTACTGCCTCAGTCCCAGTAGCTGGGACTACAGACATGTGCCACCATGCCCAGCTAATTTTTTGTTTTATATGTTTTTAGTTGGTCAATTCATTTCTTTCTATTTTTAGTAGAGACAGGCTCTTGCTTTTGCTCAGGCTGGTTTCGAGCTCCTGACCTCAAGCGATCCACCCGCCTCGGCCTCCCAGAGTGCTAGGATTACAGGCGTGAGCCACCATGCCTGGCCTTGATGTATCTTTTTATATTCATTCTTTAATATATATTAAGAAACACCTGCTTTTTGAAAGATTTTATACTAGAATGCTTGGGAGCAACAAACAAAGTGTTTCAAAAAAGAACCAAAGATCATTACAGTCTAATAGAGAAGTTATTTTAATAAAATAATTAACTGTAGTAAAATTTTTAAAGTGGTAAATACCAAAAATGATATATCTCTAAATACTGTAGGAATTTAAAGATGGAAGATTTACTTGTAACTTCTAGTTGGAAGGATCAAGGAAGGCTTATGAAATTAGAGTTCTGCTTTAATAACATTTTCTGTCAGATTATTTTGAAAATGTATGGAAAGCCTTGAGCTCAAGAAGCTATCACTATTAGAAGTCACAATGTCTAAATAGTTCTTAATGGAAAATACCTCTAGACACTTACACTGGGTTTGTTTCCTCCCTCCCTCCCTCCCTCTTGTATGTTCTTTTCATTGGCATATGGAAGCTCTTGATATCTCTGTTTCATCACCTACTGAGTTCAAGTGTAGTATATGTCTTCTGTAGTTTTCTTCTGTTTTCCATTTTGTGAATTGCTTAGTTGAATGTTTTTGAGCACCTCTTTGTACACTGTACTTACTGTACTAGATAAGAGATCAAGAGATACAAAGGAGGTGTGAGAAAGACTGTATGTGGTTTATTAAGAAAAACTGCATTATTTGTAAGTGGAAAAATATGAGCTAGCATATAATTAAGTGCTAATTTGTTTGTGCATGGAACAAATATTTATTAAATACTCACTATCTACCAGATACTATTGTTAGAGTTAGGATATATTGGAAAGCAAGATTAAAGATATTTGAGACAGTAAGAAAATATCAATAAAAGTTTACTCCAAGCATGTGGAGCCTGGGCTACTATGAATATTAATAACACTATGACAGAGATAGGGAAGTTGGGATCAGCATGCTGGGTGGAGGTATGAGGTAGTGTCAATAGATATCTTAAATACACTTCGAAAGGTGGCAAGAGGGAATATGGTTTTATTTTTCCTAGGTGGAAGAAACTTATATATCTTTGAAGAACAAGGAGAAAAAAGCCAGTAGGAAGAAAAGAAATTGAAAATGTTTAAGTAGGGAATATAGGTTGGGAGCAAAAAAAAATGCATAAAAAGGGAGGAATTAATCCCAGATGGTTTTGTTTCTTTGGGAAATTGGAGGAGAGATTATTTGTTGGAAATAAATGATAGCTGTTTGCAATTGGCTTAAGTAGAGTAAAGGGAATATATTTGCAACAGTCATCATGAGGAAATTTGCCAGGAAATCAGCAAGATTTCAGTAAAAGAATAGATGGGTAGTAGAGATTAATTGAAAATGGATGGCAAAGTCTACAGTAGGGCTGTGTGCCTTTTTGTTCTCTTAGAACAGGAATAGAGAAAACTGATGGTAGATAAGGAAGATAACATAGTGTTAGAGTCAAACTTGAATTTGAATTCCTGATATCTCTATCATTGCTTTGTGACTTTGGTTAAGTTAATCGATATGTGTCTCAGTTTCCTCATGTCACAAATAAACATAATTCCTTTATTTCAGATTATGGTATTGCATGAGATCTTGGAAAGTCCCCTAGCTAGGAGTTCTATAAATGTTAATTCCCCTTCTCCCCAAAGAGTGAGCCATCATCAGACAACAGCATGGTAGTGTTCAATTCAAAAGTAAGGGTGACATCTAAGGATCTAATCATAGTTCCAGGCTGAGTGGGAACTCTAGAATTGCTAGGAATAATCTATTTGAGCAAAAGTGGGGAGGAGTTGAGGTTAAGGTGTAGGTATGGTGATGTAGAGTAATGATAGTAAAGGAGGCATGCCATAAAGGAAGAAGCCTGTATGCATTGGATAGGGAATGGCCATAGAGAGTAGAGAGAAAAGGAACTGGGAAATCATGTTCTGTGGTTTATCAGCAGGCACAGTGGAATCTGAAAGTGTTGCAGGCAGGAAGATAGGACAGACCTTGATGCAGGTGCTGAAATGTTTCCCAAGGATAAAGAAATGAATTCTGGTAGATGGTTATAAAAGGAAACAAAAACTACAATGATTCAGTGAGGGTGGATAAGACTTGATGATGAAAAATAAATGGAGGATGGTGATTTACTGGTCCCAATGTGGTAACTGTATCCATTCTGGAGTAGTAGGGCAGTTGAAATTGCCACAGAAGACAATTTCTGTTTGCCTGAGAAATTTGAAAGAAAAAGCCTGAGATAATTTACCAGTAAAGAAAAGAGGCCGGGCGCGGTGGCTCACGCCTGTAATCCTAGCTCTCTGGGAGGCCGAGGCGGGCGGATTGCTCGCAAGAGCGAGACCCCGTCTCTACTATAAATAGAAAGAAATTAATTGGCCAACTGATATGTATATAAAAAATTAGCCGGGCATGGTGGCTCATGCCTGTAGTCCCAGCTACTTGGGAGGCTGAGGCAGAAGGATCGCTCGAGCCCAGGAGTTTGAGGTTGCTGTGAGTGAGGCTGACGCCACGGCACTCACTCTAGCCTGGACAACAAAGCGAGACTCTGTCTCAAAAAAAAAAAAAAAAGAAGAAAAGAGATATTAGGGGAATGAGGAATATGATTGTGTGAAGCACATGTGGGTTAAATAGCTCTTTAAGTTTAGGTTTAGAAAAGCAGGAGCTCTGTGCCCCATAGAGTGTCTCTGGAGGAATGAATAAAGGAAGCTTTGAGATAAGAAGCAGATTGGAACTAGTATGTAGGAGAGAGCGCATAGGATGGAGAGCATAGGATGTGGGGAGTCTTGGCATAGCTATTAGCTAGCTGTGTGATCATGGGCAAATCAATAACTGTGCCCCAGTTACCTTACTGCAGAATAGAGAGTTTGATCTAAACCTCTGAAGTTTTGTTAGGTCCCTCTGAGATCCCCGTTTTTAATTTTAGAGCACTGGAATCAAAGTCTGAAGTGATGGCAAATTTGTATTTCTGGGCTGTCCATTAGCCACATACAGACATAAAGCTGTTGTGCACTTGAAATATGGCTAGTGTGACTAAGGAACTGACTTTTAGCTTCAAAAATTTTTAAATAGCCACCTGTGCTACTGGCTATCATATTGGACAGCACAGTTCTAAACAAATCACTCTTGGGTTAATTTTCCTTCCTTTGTCAACAAATTTTTTATGTCTTTCTAACATTTGCTATCTAGTCTAGTTATTAATAAAATAAAATTGATTTCTTTTGTTAAAAAACTAGGAAAGGAAAAAAGAATTAAGTTTTGATCTAGTATTACGTACTAAATAACTCATGCATGACTATTGACTGAAACTTTTAAAAATGGCAGCTAAATATGACAAAGTTAAAATGTTTTTGACCAATGAATTTTTTTGATATTGAAGTATAATACTTAGACTCAATGAATAAATAGTATTGATGTGTTTATTTTGCTGATATGTAGAGTACTAAAATTGAGTCTGTGTTTATTTCTATAATTTCTTAGACTATCATAGAGCTCTCTGAAGAGCGGGATGGTCTTCATTGTCTACCCCATGGCTCTTCATCCGCACAGTCACCCTGTGGTTCTCCAGGCATGAAGCGAACAGAAAGTCGACAACATCTGTCAGTGGAACTGGCAGATGCTAAAGCCAAGATAAGAAGGCTTAGGCAGGAACTGTAAGTTGCTGATTTTCAAGGTTCATTGAATTTATATGGTCCCAAAGGTGACCTAAACTATATTTTTAGGCTTATGGAATATAAATTAGTGGCTTTCCATTTTTAGTTTGTGTAAATGTTTTCACTAGTGTGTGTCAAAATGAGAAAAATAAGAAAAAACATAATGGTTTCCTAATGTTAAATTTATCAATTTAAAGGATGCCCTTTATTCTGGATTTATGTCCTTCCTATCTAATGTCTTATCTTTTATAAAATAGTGTCCTTGGCAATTTGGGAATCTCCTTAATTTTTATTTTTATATTCCTTGAAATCCAAATTACTGGAAACCACTGATGTCTATCAGTGTTTAGGTTTTTAAAATTAGTGTCTTAAAACACAAAATTGTTGGCATATAATATTACAAAAAAATAAATTTTTCTATCTTCTGCATTTACTGATTGAAGTGCCTGAGGCATGTACTTAGTAAAGGTAAATATAGTCACATGCTGCATAATGATGTTTCGGTCAACAATGGACTGCATATACAAAGGTGGTCCCATGAGGTTATAAATGAGCTGAAAAATTCCTGTCACCTAGTGACATCTCGATGTTCAGGACCCTGTGTAGGCCTAGGCTAATGTGTGTGTTCATGTTAGTTTAAAAAAAAAAAAACTTAAAAATTTTAAAAACAGAAAAAAGCTGATAGAATAAGGGTATAAAGAAAGAAAATATTTTTGTACAGTTGTCCAATGTGTTTATGTTTTAAGCTAAATGTTAATACAAAAGAATTAAAAAGTTTTTAAAAATTAAGTTTAAAAGTAACAAAGTTACAGTGAACTAAGGCTAATTTATTATAGAAAAAAATGTTTTTAAGTATGGTGTAGCTTAAGTGTATAGTGTTTAGAAAGTCTACAGTAGTATACAGTAATGTTCTAGGCCTTCATTCACTCACTGACTCATGCTCCATTCATGGTAAGCACCCTATACAAGTGTACCATTTTTTATCTTCTTTTTTTTTTTTTTTTTTTTTTTGAGACAGAGTCTAGCTCTGTTGCCTGGGCTAGAGTGCATCAGCCTAGCTCACAGCAACCTCAAACTCCTGGGCTCAAGCGATCCTTCTGCCTCAGCCTCCCGGATAGCTGGGACTACAGGCATGCGTGCCACCATGCCTGGCTAATTTTTTCTATATATATTTTAGTAGGCCAATTAATTTCTTTCTATTTTTAGTAGAGACGGGGTCTCGCTCTTGCTCAGTCTGTTTCAACTACTGACCTTGAGCATACCGCCCACTCGGCTCCCAGAGTGCTAGGATTACAGGCGTGAGCCGCCTCACCTGGCCCATTTTTTATTTTATACCATATTTTACTGTACTTTTTCTGTGTTTAGAATGTTGATATGCACACTTACATTGTGTTCCATGTAGTAAATGCTGTATAGGTTTGTAGCCTAGAGCAATAGGCTACTCCATAGCCTAAGTGTATAGTAGGATATACTATCTAGTTTGTGTAGTAGTACTGTACATGATATTCACACAATGAGGAAATTGCCTAATGACACATTTCTTAGAGTGTATTCTCATTGTTAAATGATGCATGATGTACTTAGGTTAATTGTCAAAGATTGTTATAAAAAGTAAGTATAAATGATATAAGCACTCCTTGGTGAACCACAAGTAAAGATGTGACCAATCTCTGCTAAAGCTTTTTTATTTGTACTTTAAAAAACAGAAAGGATTTTTGTTTTTTTTTTTTTCTTTCTTTAAAAAATTTTAGATGGTTTTCCTGGAACTTGTGCTTCAGAGTATAGATTTTAAATTTAAAACCACAATATAGCAATTAAATTTATTCACTGATTATTTAAAGCATTTTACGAAGTGATTGAATATGCAAGGTAGAAAAAAAACATTACAGTTATAGGAAATTTGAAAACAAAAAAAATACAGCTTTCACTTTGGAGTCTGCATTTATGTATCTATTGAAATGAATACGCCCAGGATATTCTATAAACAGCTGCACCAGGAAAATTAGGGAAGAGATTGCTGTTATTAGTTTGACTGGCAGCTAATGGATAGCCTAAACAGTGAACACAGTTCGTTCCATAAATAGCACAATCTTCTCCAGTCTTCAGATAAAGCATGCAATTAGAACTGTAATGATGGCTATGAATTCATTTAAGTTTTGTACTATATTAGAATTAATTTTTAAATAATTTATTTGGCTATGGAGTATATTAAAATCCAGACAACTTGGAGAGATTGATAAATTTGGTTATATATACTGATTAGAAATGTAAATGGATATTTTAATGGACAAATAACTACGCCATAATATAGCAAGTATTCCAGTAACTAGCATTTCATCAGATACTGTTTAATCTTTGTCGTCCTTTGAAAATGTGTTTCTTCATAGATTTCTTCTATTACATTTGTTTTACATTTTTTACATCTTTACTAAATAAATGAATACAGAAATTATGGTGGACAAAAATAGTCCCGATCTCCTTATATAACTAAGGAAACTATACAGTAAATAATTGTGATGAACATGAACATTAACTACTGGCATCCTCATTTATGGTAGTACATTATAATATTATTGCTTTTTGATTAAAACATGCAGAATAAAAGTATAATTTGAAATTGGATGGAAAAAGTAATTTCTTATAAGTTTCACTTTTATTGCAGTAGTTAACACTGTTAAATATTCCCTTTAATATTTCTCTCTGCCTCTGTGGATTGTGTGTTTTTATTCTTGGCCAGGCATAGTGGCTCATGCCTGGAATCCCAGCACTTTGGGAGCGAGGTGGGAGGATCACTTGGGCCAGGAGTTCAAGACCAGCCTGAGGCAACATAGCAAGACCCATCGCTACAAAAAATTTAAAAAATTACCAGGCGTGCTGGCATGCTCCTGTAGTCCTAGCTACTTGGGAGGCTAAACCAGGAGGATCACTTGAGCCCAGGAATTTGAGGTTGCAGTGAGCTATGAAGACACCATGTACTCTAGCCTGGATACAGAGCAAGACCCTGTTTCAAAATAAAAGAAAGAAAGAAACATCCCCAAAATTATTCTTTTTTTAAAAAGAGTCTTGTTTAGATATAATTAGTGTATCAGAAAATTCATCCTTTTAAAGTGTACATTCAGGAAGGGAGGGGTGCTCAAAAATTATTAAATGGTTTTCAGTTAATTCATAGAGTGGTGCAGTTATCACACACTTGTTCTAATTTCAAGACATTTCATTACCCCAAAAGAAACTCTATACTATTAGCAGTCAATCCCTATTTCTCTTTGCCTCAGCTCCTGGCAATCACTGATCTACTTTATGTTTCCATGTATTTGCCTATTCTGGATATACATATAAATGGAATTATATAATAAATGGCCTTTTGTGACTGGTTCTCTTAGCATGATGTTTTCCAGTTTCATCCATGTTGTAGCATGTATCAGTAATTTATTCCTTTTTATGGTTGAATATTCCTTTTAGATATGCACATTTTGATCAGCCATTTATCAGTTGATGGACATTTGAATTGTTTTTATTTTTATTTATTTTTTTAGAGATGGGGTCTCTGTCACCCAGACTGAGTACAATGGTGCAATCATAGCTCATGGTAACCTCCAACTCCTGGCTCAAGTGATCCTCCTGGTCCAGCCCCTAAGTAGCCAGGACTAAGGTGCATGCCACCATACCAGCTAATTAAAAAAAATTTTTTATTTATAGTGAGAGTGGCATTCTGTTATGTTGCCTAGACTGTCTTGACTCTTGGCCTCAGGTGATCCTCCCAAAGTGCTGGGATTACAGGTGTAAGTTACCATTCCTGACCAGCGATATTTTAATATGTTACCATAATTCAAAAGCTAATTTTTAAAAAAGCATTTCACAGCCCAAAAGAATATTTGTAAAAATTAAATCATAAAAGGTAATAGCTTTTAATCAGAAGAAAAAGACTAACTGTCCAGTAAAAGTTAGAAATATAAATGAGCTAATATTCAAAAGAAATATTTAACTGGCACAGCATGGAAAACAAACACACATTATTTATTGTTCAATTGTTTCAGCTTGTTTCCTATGTAGCACCTTTATC